GCTCCTCTGGAATCTGCCCTCCCAATTAACCTGGGGAAGCCCACCCCTTAGGCCTCACCGGTCAAGGGGGGCTGCGGATTGGGAGGGATCTTGACCAGATAAACACCACTGGTCCGTCTGCAGGGGGTGGGGAAGGACAGATAGACAGAGGTTTGATAAAGCAGATAGTATTCTTCACTTTTTCATTCTCTGAAACCCCACGAGACAACACTTAGTGAGGCGTTCACTTGCTTCCTCTTTTGTCCTCACATACAAAAGATACATACAGGTATTTTCAATGGTGTGAGCAGGATCAACTGACCAAGAATTCTGTTGTTCAGCTGCTCCGTCATGTCTCACTCTTTGCGACCCCATGGACTGCAGCATGCCAGGCTTCCTGGTCCTTCACTGTCTCCTGGAGTTTTCAGATTCATGTGCATCGAGTCGATGACGATATCTAACCCTCGCATCTAAGATTCTACAAATGCAAATGTTCACCCTCTAGTGTGTGTTACTGGGTGCGAGGTGAGGCCCTGAGGTCTGTGTTTTCAGGGTGATCAGAGGCAGGAGGAGTCGGGAAGGGAAACAGGACAGGCTGAGTATGTGGACCATCATATAGAGATGAAAAAACTCCAGAGAGGGAAAAAAAAAAAAGAGCACACAGCTGCCGTCCCCCAAACAGACCTCCCATCTGCCACCCACGATTTGCATGTCACCTTCTCCGGGCTCATTTGTACTTCATTAACTGCCATTGACTTAACAAGATTTATGCAAATGACACCATAGGAGCTCCCTAACTCCCACTGCAATCAAGTGATTATGTATGTACAACTCTCCACAGCAATGAAAAATTAATACGTGACAAGCCCACTCGCCGCTGAGCCGGGCCTCTGGCTTTTTCTTTTCCTTGCTTTTTGCTTTTACATTTCTATCTGAAGAGACCTGATCGCCATCACTTAGGAGGAGGAGGAGACAGGGAAGAGGAGGAAGACGGAGGAGGAGGAGGAAGGAAAGGCAGACGGAGGAGAAGCAGATCTCTCTGAACCAAATCTCCACTGAGACTTCAGAAGGGACAAAGAACGCAGAGGTGGGCCCAGGTCCTCAAAAAATGGAAGTTATTTTGCAGAAGATAAGTCACATTCTCGATGAGAAAGCTTTCACGGGGGAAGGAGGGGAGACAGGATCACTGCCCACCGTCCGCGGGCAGCTCCTCCCACGCTGGGCCGAGGAGAGCCTCCGTCTCACAGCCAACAGGCGAGCTGTAAAACGTGAGCCGGACGCGGTTAAAATAACCCACTGGAACACGCTCCGTCTGCAAAGACATGCGTCAGGCTGCCGAGCGTGTTGGAGAGACGGCCTCGCCTGTGTCCTGAAGCGCCCCCGACAAGACTCCTGTGCGTTGGGGGGGGGAGACAGAGCCTGTGACGATCAAACATACTGGCCCGTTCCAAAGCTCCCCACTCCCCGGCCCAGCCCCACGGAGGACCAGGACGAGGTTCAGCATGAGGACTCCTCTGCAAAGGGCCTGTGAGCTGGGGTTCGGGGCCCCAACACGCAGACCCAGTCCCGAACAGGGGCTGAGAGTGGAGGCGGGGGCTCAGATGCTGGTGGGAAGGGCAGGCAATGGAGAAGGTGCAGGGACCCTGGGCAACCCCGCACAGAGGCGCGAGGACCTGTGTCCCTGCAGACGTGCGATGCTGCAGGCATATCTCAAAAGATTCCTCTCCTCGGGCACGAGGTATTTGTCTGAGGTTGGGGGGCACACGTTTAAACCAAAGCATCTAACTCTGCTTCCTAAGCTTTTTTTTTTTCTTGGCCGTGCCGTGTCGCTTGTGGGATCTTAGTTCCTCGACCGAGGCTCGAACGCCCACGGCAGTGAGAACGCAGAGCCCTCACCACTGGACTGCCAGGAATCCGCTTCCTAAGCTTTCTGAAGGCTTCTGGCCAACGGGCAGCATAGGGTGCACGGGCCACGGGCCAGGCTCGAATCCCGGCCCCTCGGCTTCCCACAGGGCCTGGTCTGGAAAGTTTGTACCACACAGATTTAATTAAAAATGAAGACAACATAGTTATGTCAACCGTGGCCATGTTGAGGGTTCAAAGAGATATTACGTGAGTGCTTAACAAATACTAGGCAATCACTTAATCGTTCAGGCCTGCAATGTCTAGAACATTCCGGCAGGTGCTGCTCTAACTGGGCCGCACCCTCCACAATCCTCTTGCTTCATTTCTACTAGCTGATGTCATCCCTGGCAGGCTGAGGAGTCCAAACTACCTCTAAGGGTCTCCGTTCCTTTATAAAAATACAAATAAATCTGTACATCTGTGTGCAAACCCACATCAGCCTGTGCGGTCCACAGCAAGGCTCCTATGAACGTGTCCTGAGCACGACGAATCTGAAAATCCGGCTTTGCCAGAATCTAAAAATCCTCGCTGGCATCTCTTCATCTCAGCGTCCCAAGGGATTCAGTATTATCCGGAGCCCAATTTCCAGATGGGGATTCCGAGGCCGGGCATGTTCTGCCTCAAGGGGACTCTGACCTGCCAGGTGTGGTCTCCAGGACGCGGGTTCCCCATGTCTGTACGTAGAGGCAGCTACGAGAGACGGGAGCTGGCTGGGCTACCTATGTCGGGATGCCCCAGGAAACCAGACCACGACTGAGGGGTAAACTGGATTATTTTGAACATCGACAACTAAAAGCCTTCCCAGGACAGGATAACCCTTGACTGTCAACCTCCAGCAGCACACAGACTAAGAGCCTGGCCTGTGCAGAGGAGCAGGGCACAGACCGAGGGAAGGGAGGCCCCACCCACACGGGGGACGCCATCCAGTGTTGAGTTCTAGCAGCCTAGAAAGGAAATGTCCCAGGAGGGATATTTTAAATGACAGGAAAAGAGTTCAATGATTTTCCCAATTCTCTAGTTGACACAGCATCAACAGAATGAAAATTACACATTAAAATTGCTGTATGTGGAGAGTTAAGTTTATATCAATAAGTAAAGGCACAAAGAATAAGCAACCGTGCCTGCATCTCTATAGGAGAGAAAACCTTTAGGAACAGTCAAAACCAGATTCACAGACACTGAGGACAGACGTGCCGAGGGGGAGACGGGAGGGGGTGCAAGTGAAGGCTGGGGGTGTGGGGTTAGCAGATACAAATTACTACACACGGGATAGATAAACAACAGGGCCCTGCTATAGAGCACAAGGAACTGGGCTCAGTATCCTGTGAGAAGCCAAGGTGGAAAAGAATACAGACAAATATATGTATATGTGTGTGTCGGGGTGTGTTTATGGGGCTTCCCAGGGGGCGCGAGTGGTAAAGAACCTACCTGCCAATGTAGGAAACATAAGCAACTCGGGGTCGAACCCTGGGTTGGGAAGATCCCCTGGAGGAGGGAATGGCAACCTACTCCAGTATTCTTGCCTGGAGAGCTGCACAGACAGAGGAGGGATTCCATAGACAGGGGGCACACTATAGCATGTGCTCAGTCACTTCAGTCGTGTCCAACTCTGTGCGACCCCATGGACTGTATAGCCCAGCAGGCTCCTCTGGCTACGGAATTCTCCAAGCAAGAGCTTTGGAACGGGTTGCCATTTCCGACCCAGGGATCGAACCTGAGTTTCTTATTGCTCCTGCATTGGCAGATGGGTTCTTTACCACTAGCACCACCTGGGGAGCCCTATAAATACACAGTCCATAAATACATGTGAATGTGTGTGTATGTGTACATACAGACATATATATATACGTATAATTAAGTCACTTTGCTGCACAGCAGAAATTAAACACAGCATTGTAAATCAACTATACTTCAATTTAAAAAAAAAGCGAGAACAGCAAAGAGGAGGGAAGGAGATTGCTCTTAGGGGTTCTCCACGCCAGCCCACACATCAGTTCCCCAGTCTCTGGAGGCACCGTGTGAAACCCTGTGGACTTCTGCCTCTGTCTCACCTGTGATGCTGGGGCCCGCCCACACCTGCAGGCAGAAACCGCCGGGTCCCCACGTGAAGCCACAGGCTACCTGTTTCAAGCGGAACGATTCTAGCCCTCCTGAAGGGTGGCCAGTGCCAACACGAGCTCCTACAGGATTCGTGTCCAGCTACAACTGCAGGGGCAGAGGTGTCATCCTGCCCACTGACTCCTCTTCCCCTTAAGCAGAAAACACTCGAAACCAACCGGCCTTCTTCAGCAAAGTAAAAGACGGCATTTCCAGAAGCCACGCTGCCGGGCTGAACACTTTCATTTCATTTCCCTGGGAACTATCACAGCCAAATAGGTCTTGTGAATTCCCCTTTTCCTTGAGACATAAAGTCATTTGGTACCCGGCTTCTGGGCTAATGAAAACCGATTCCAGGCTAGCGACATAGGCCAAAACAAATGCCTGCGTTCGAGTCCTGTTGTGTAATGAGGAAGTTTAATTAAGGCCCCACATTACAGCTGTAAATGTTCCTTTATATAATAAGGTCTAAATGAAACTGAACCTAATCAAAGTTACAATTCCTTCATTAGCAAATTACAAACAAGAGCGCACAGCTGACACACCAGCTATGATTATCACAACTAATTGCCTCGTTGTTACAAACCAGCCTGCAACCGTGTTCAGATGTCCGTCTGCGAGAGCAAATTAGGGCCACGTCGGGCTATTCCTGTGATCACAAGGGGCTCTTGTACGGGGATCTGATTTACCCCTGTTGCCTGGCGGCCAGCGGCCCAATCAAAGCTGCGCTACAAAGGCAGCCTTTGAAGCCAGCGCAGTCTCGAAACGCACTCCATATGCAGGCGGGCAGACTGCACTTCATTAGGTCTGTTGTCACATTTCCCCTCTTCTTATTCTAATGATCCTATTTTAATACACACAGGAACCTCTTCTAATTGATGTCAAGTGAGTGACTTCTACATTCATCAGCGGAGCACATCAAACAAACCTTGGCGTGCGAGCCAGCCTCACGGCGAGGAGAGACCCAGGGTGTGTCTCCGGCTACAGGGCCGGGCGGGGGTGGGGGGAAGCCGCGTTACCTGTTTAATTGGGATGGCTCGACCGCTCCCGATGCTGTCCGCTCGACTCTCCAGGCCTTTCTTCTCTTTGTCTGGGTCACTCCCTTTCCGAGACTGAAAAGCAAAAATAAAGTTAGCCTTTGGGGAAGGGCTGTGGTTCACAGATTGCGGAGGTGAAACCCACCTGCGCCGCTTCTGCGAAATACACACCTGAAGAAGCCCTGCATAAGCTGTGCGTGTATCCCTGTGTACGAGCTGTGCGTGCGTGCACCCACGTGTGCCAGCTGTGTGCACCCACGTGTGCCAGCTGTGCGTGTACCCCCGTGTACGAGCTGTGCGTGTACCCACGTGTACCAGCTGTGCGTGCGCCCACATGGGTGAGCTGTGCGTGTATCCATGTGTACCAGCTGTGCGTGTGCCCACATGGGTGAGCTGTGCATGTATCCATGTGTACGAGCTGTGCGTGCACCCACGTGTACCAGCTGTGCGTGTGCCCACATGGGTGAGCTGTGTGTGTACCCACGTGTACCAGCTGTGCGTGTGCCCCGGTGTACGAGCTGTGCGTGTATCCATGTGTACCAGCTGTGCGTGTGCCCACATGGGTGAGCTGTGCGTGTATCCATGTGTACAAGCTGTGTGTGTACCCCGGTGTACGAGCTGTGCATGTACCCACGTGTACCAGCTGTGCGTGTGCCCACATGGGTGAGCTGTGCGTGTATCCATGTGTACGAGCTGTGCGTGCACCCACGTGTACCAGCTGTGCGTGCGCCCACATGGGTGAGCTGTGCGTGTATCCATGTGTACGAGCTGTGCGTGCACCCACGTGTACCAGCTGTGCGTGTGCCCACATGGGTGAGCTGTGCATGTACCCACATGTACCAGCTGTGCGTGTGCCCACATGGGTGAGCTGTGCATGTACCCACGTGTACCAGCTGTGCGTGTGCCCACATGGGTGAGCTGTGCATGTATCCATGTGTACGAGCTGTGCGTGCACCCACGTGTACCAGCTGTGCGTGTGCCCACATGGGTGAGCTGTGCATGTACCCACATGTACCAGCTGTGCGTGTGCCCACATGGGTGAGCTGTGCATGTACCCACGTGTACCAGCTGTGCGTGTGCCCACATGGGTGAGCTGTGCGTGCACCCACGTGTACCAGCTGTGCGTGTGCCCACATGGGTGAGCTGTGCGTGTATCCATGTGTACCAGCTGTGTGTGTGCCCACATGGGTGAGCTGTGCGTGTATCCATGTGTACAAGCTGTGTGTGTACCCCGGTGTACGAGCTGTGCATGTACCCACGTGTACCAGCTGTGCGTGCGCCCACATGGGTGAGCTGTGCATGTATCCATGTATACCAGCTGTGCGTGTGCCCACATGGGTGAGCTGTGCATGTACCCACGTGTACCAGCTGTGCGTGTGCCCACATGGGTGAGCTGTGCATGTATCCATGTATACCAGCTGTGCGTGTGCCCACATGGGTGAGCTGTGCATGTACCCATGTGTACCAGCTGTGCATGTACCCACGTGTACCAGCTGTGTGTGTACCCATATGGGTGAGCTGTGCATGTAACCACGTGTACCAGCTGTTTGTGTACCCACATGGGTGAGCTGTGCATGTACCCACGTGTACCAGCTGTGCGTGTGCCCACATGGGTGAGCTGTGCGTGTATCCATGTGTACGAGCTGTGCGTGCACCCACGTGTACCAGCTGTGCGTGTGCCCACATGGGTGAGCTGTGCATGTACCCACATGTACGAGCTGTGCGTGTGCCCACATGGGTGAGCTGTGCGTGCACCCACGTGTACCAGCTGTGCGTGTGCCCACATGGGTGAGCTGTGCGTGTATCCATGTGTACAAGCTGTGTGTGTACCCCAGTGTACGAGCTGTGCATGTACCCACGTGTACCAGCTGTGCGTGCGCCCACATGGGTGAGCTGTGCGTGTATCCATGTGTACGAGCTGTGCGTGCACCCACGTGTACCAGCTGTGCGTGTGCCCACATGGGTGAGCTGTGCGTGTATCCATGTGTACAAGCTGTGTGTGTACCCCGGTGTACGAGCTGTGCATGTACCCACGTGTACCAGCTGTGCGTGCGCCCACATGGGTGAGCTGTGCGTGTATCCATGTGTACGAGCTGTGCGTGCACCCACGTGTACCAGCTGTGTGTGTGCCCACATGGGTGAGCTGTGCGTGTACCCATATGTACAAGCTGTGTGTGTACCCCGGTGTACGAGCTGTGTGTGTATCCATGTGTACCAGCTGTGCGTGTGCCCACATGGGTGAGCTGTGCATGTACCCACGTGTACCAGCTGTGCGTGTGCCCACATGGGTGAGCTGTGCGTGCACCCACGTGTACCAGCTGTGCGTGTGCCCACATGGGTGAGCTGTGCGTGTATCCATGTATACCAGCTGTGCGTGTGCCCACATGGGTGAGCTGTGCATGTAACCACGTGTACCAGCTGTGTGTGTACCCACATGGGTGAGCTGTGCATGTACCCACGTGTACCAGCTGTTTGTGTACCCACATGGGTGAGCTGTGCATGTACCCATGTGTACCAGCTGTGCATGTACCCACGTGTACCAGCTGTGTGTGTACCCATATGGGTGAGCTGTGCATGTAACCACGTGTACCAGCTGTTTGTGTACCCACATGGGTGAACTGTGCATGCACCCACGTGTACCAGCTGTGCATGTACCCACGTGTACCAGCTGTGCATGTACCCCCGTGTACCAGCTGTGGGTGTACCCCCATGTAGGAGCCGTGCGTGTACCCACGTGTAGGAGTCGTGCGTGTACCCACGTGTACCAGCTGTGTGTGTACCCACATGGGTGAGCTGTGCATGTACCCCCGTGTACCAGCTGTGGGTGTACCCCCATGTAGGAGCCGTGCGTGTACCCACGTGTAGGAGCCGTGCGTGTACCCACGTATACCAGCGGTGCGTGTACCCACATGGGTGAGCTGTGTGCGCACCCCTGTGCATGCACACATATCCCAGGAACATACTGCTGGGCGTCCATCACCACCAAGCCATCACATTATAGGGAATTTTCTAAACTTTCCTTCCCACTTTTCCACTGCAAAATCATCTTTTAATTCTTTTGTAAAGAAGTTCAAAATTCAATTACGAGAAACCAATGGACCATACAGGAAAGTAACGCCCAACAGGAAAACACATTCCGAAGCTGCAGTTAAATCCAGCCGAGGAGAAAAGGACTCCTCGCTGCTTGTTTGGGAAACCTGTGACATAAATGTATATATTTAATTAACATCTGAAGGATCTTAAAAATTCTATTAACGTCTCAGCTGTGCAATTCAACGGGATACTCCTAATTCATATCGAGCTGCCATTAACGTTCCTTTTTATTGCTTCTGGATAGTTAGAAAAGAGCGAATTCAAAGTTAAACTGGTGCTAAGATACCAAAGAAAATAACCAAGGGGAAATAAAGTTGAAGATATCTTTGGGGGTAAAATATCAGTACTTTGGGGAAAAATGAGTGGCTTTGTTTGCCGAGTTCCTGACAGTTTTCTTGGCAATAATGACGTGCGTGCCCACCCAGGAGGAGAGTGGCTAGCAAGGAGGGTGTCAACGGGGGCCCCAGGGAAGCCACCCCAGGACACAGTGACTTGGGGACATTGAAGGAGCAATCACAGCTAAGTCTCCATCGCCTGGTGGCATGAGAAACTGTGAGCACAATGATTTTCTGACAGATTTATTTTATTATGAGAGAAAGATCTGAGACTCGTCCTCCTTAATAACTGTGCTGACAAGTGACAACTCCACTCCATTACTTTTCAATGGGAACATTACTCACGCAATATTGAAAATGGAGAAACATTTTCATGTGCTTTTCAAATCTGAGATGATATATGAAAGGAGCAGACTTTGTGGTGTCCAGTGCGGCAATGAGAAGCTAATGAAATCCAGTTTTAAAGGGTGTGAGATGGAGCGGCTGAGATATATATATATATATATTTTAAATATTAAAGGGAGTGATGTCATGGGGTATAAGGAGAAAAGTTCCCACGACGTAAACCTGGATCAGGGACTGTGATAAGCCCACGGGCTCCACAGAAGACAGGCTGCTTTGATGATGCTCAGAAGCTGACATTATTTACTGAGCACCTACTAAGTGCCAGGCACTGTGCACCTATGTTTCTTTAGGATGCTAGAAGCTTGCAGTGATGTACCAGGAAACGGAACAAGCAACAAACAGAAAGTTGCGGAAGAATATAAAACATGATGTTTAACCTTTGGGCTCAGCAGGAAATAAATAAGAGATTTATCAATTCCTTGTCATGAACTTTAGTTAAAGAGTTAGGGGCTCACTTTTCTCTTTAATTAATTAACTGTTTAATTAATAACTTGTGGTAAGAGCTGTTACACAGCTCTTACATAAGTTCTGTTTTCCCTATGTCTCAGTTCATGAGAAAGCTGGAATTTGAGGTTACTATTTGTAAATGAGGTTCAAAGCTCACAGCGATGACATATAAAATTGTTTCAAATCAACAGAGACCACTAATGGTACTTTTGGAATTTTAAGAATTCTGGATTTCTAAATCTGGAAATCCATCTTCATTATTCTCTACTAACCAGAATAATTAACAAAACAAACATTAAAAAAATTAACATCTTCCTCAAGGCAGCACATCTGTCTCCAGAACCACTCCATCGTCAGAGAATTCCAGATTCCACAGGAAGGAGGATCAGGAATTAAACTCCACGTCTGATCGCATATCCTGAGATGAATGAGGTGGAAACTGAGGGAAAACTTGCAAAATGCAACAGAAATTCCCAGTGACTCTCACACTTGGGTGGAGAGAACCGTAAAACTAAAACTTCATGGACAGAGTGGTGGTAATCTGTTAGGCAAAAGGGTTTACTGTCTCTCTATCCTATAGTGACTTTCAGTACAGCAGTCTGTGATATATATCATAAACCGGAAATCCAACAGCTAAACTAAAACAAACCCGTTGGACATAAGACACCACAGCACGTATAGATTCCCAGTAAGGTCTCCTGATATTTCTGCCAGCCCTGAGACTACATCACCCACAGCACAGCCTCACAATGCCACTCAAATGGCTCCTTGAAAGCATCAGATCCAAAGCTGCCCCGGGTACCGCTGCTGGGGGGTCAGGAGTGAGTGTGCAAGGCACCCACCTGACACACAGCCAGAACCCTAACAGGAGGGTATCACGCCCATCAGAGAAAGTCACGGGGAGCTGGAGGAGTGACCGGAGAGCCTCTGCAAACAGTGAACGCAGCAGAAAGAAAGGCTAGGATAAACCTAATTACCATCTCCTTCGTCAGAGACACGTTCAGCTGCCCCTCAGGTGATAAAGGAAGCTGTGAGGGGCACGCCACCAGCGGCCTGCTCCCGAGAACAAGGGGCATCACGGCCAAGCACCCTCACTATCACACAGAGACCCGCCTTCCCCTCTCCAACCGGTAAGGAAGTCCAAGAATGCAGGAACACACTGTCATGGGATCCACGCTCCCTTCCCTACAGAAACAAAATACCATTCAAACAGCTCGATTTATACTACCAATTCTACTGCCTTATTTTTTTTTACAGAGTCTCTGTGAGCTGGGCCATGGCTTTTCACAATCTTTGGTTGCTGGGTACACTTGACTCTGTTCTGGGGTGTCGGCATTGTATGGCAAGCTTTGAGAAATAACCGCGTGAGTGACACTGGGATCATAAAGCTTGAAGGCAGGCAGAGCAAGGCACCAGACAATTTGTGGACGCGTAGAGGAGTGAGTGTAAGATGTGGACGCAGATAACAGACACTGCATCCAAAGGAATGCCGATCCCCGGATGGGGGGTGGGGGTGGGGTGGGGGGATGGATATTCTGCGCTCTTTATCTATGACGGGGTTATTTCTAGAAGTCGTAGCAGCAGCAGTGGCAGAAAAATGCTCGCAGTCTATGAGTTGCAGGGTGAGTATGTGCATGTGTTTTTAAATTCCTATATGTTTGAAAATACGTCCTAATAAAACATTTGAACCACATGTTAATAAATCATGGCTATAAAACTACTCATCCTAAGAGTATACATTACAGGACCGGGAATTCGATGGATATAGCCTTTAAATATTTCTTTTTTCAAAATAATTTTTTTTCAAAGAAGTAAGCAAGATACGATATCAATTCAGCTTTTTTTATTAGTGACTGATGGTTCCTACTGCCTACAGAACACAAAACTTGCTACTATGAGAGAGATCTGCAAGTTTGTAGTCTTTTGTAAAAGGTGTGTGTTTATTTTTTTGCTCAGACTTTTGCTTATTTTTGCATGTGTGTATATACAAACAGAAACATCTGGGACTGAAGAACGTTAGCCCAGGGCGGCACACTGCAGTCACTTTATAAAATTTATAAGCACGGTGTTTGCAGACTGGTGTGTGTACTACTTAATTAACACTGGCCTCTTTAGGAGGATCTTCATAAATGAGGAAGCCGAAGCTCCTTCATCTGGGCATTACCGTCCCAGCCTGAGTGGGTTTTTATTCACTAAGATTGGTCGATGTAGGGCACTTCCATCCTCCTAGTACACATTTTTCAATAAATATGCTTTTCGCTAATTGAAGTCAGTGATTACTAACAATTGCCAGGGATGAGGAGGTTATGACATTTTACATATTTAAGAATAGGAGCAAACCGGTAACAAGGAGAATCTAGTTTCTTAATTGGCCATGATTTCAAGATCAATTTGCCTCTTGTCATTCCCTGGGTGACACTGACATCTAGTGGAGTTATCACTTCTGAGATCTTCAGCGTGCAACACCCACCCGTCACCATCACCGCCGTCGCTTTGTTCAGTGTCAAAACTGGCAGTGATGAAGATAGAGGTTTCCAGTCTTTTCCTTCAATGCCATGATGCAAACCCGCTGTGAAGGTAGCTTCTTCATGACCCCAATTCAGGGTCATGTTCCCAATAGTAACAACAGTGCAATGGATTCAGCTTCTGAAAGGATTTACTCTCAGACCACTTTCCAACACGTAGAGACCAAGCCTCGATCCTGCCCTGGTTCACAGGCAGGCCCTCGCATCCACCACCAGCTGCATTAATTATGACATGATCCATGGGGATTTCCAGTCACCATAAGGACGGGGCTGCCCTGGTTCTGGCACTCCCCCACCCGGCCTGGACAGCTGGCCGGGATCTGGGTGCCTGGACTCAGTGTATACACGTGTGCACGGCTCTAACTGTGCAGAGGCAGGGGTCCCATCGCTCTGCTCTCCTCTGGGCAGGCAGAACCCCCATCCCAGTCGACCTCCTCTTGAACCTGGGCTGACTCTGACAACACCCACGCCTGATGGAAAACAAATCCGGCCGTGCAGACAGCAGTGGGGAAGGGCAGGCTTATCACCCGAGTTGCTGTTCATCTGCTTCTTCCTGCCTTAAACATGTCTCCTTTGGTAGGTACCCAGGACACTACTTTCCAGCACCTTCAGACCCCAGAGGTGCCCATATAGGTGTGGGATGGCACGTGCCTGAGCAGCCCCGTTTCAAAGAGACTTCCCAGCTTCTCGCCTCTTGCCTTGAAGACAGACCAAAGCCAATGACCAAGAAAGGTGACCCTGAGAAGCTGTCATGAGCCTGGGTGTCCCTTCCTCCCTCCATGCCCTAGAAGAAGCGGCAAACACATAGAAGATGCTCTGGTCCACGTTCCAGGGCCCCTCCTCCCCGCTATGCTGGGTGTCCCGCTCACGGCCCACCCGCCCTCTCTGCGGGCTCCTCCTCAGGTCCATGGAGCCCTGGGTCGATCCACAGCCTGTTCTCCGACGTGACTCCGCCTCATCTGGAAGCCCCCACCTGGGTGTGCACACGTGTGCCAGGCGGATGGATAAGCCACAAGTGCTGTTTAGGTGACTACTGCTAGTCTCAGTGTGTCTGAAGAAATTCCACAGTACAGCATCTTGTAGTGGACGTCTTTAAGGATATCAGGTATGTACCTGTATTTTGCACACACCTAAGCACCTCCCTCCCGATTAACTGCTACTTCTGCTAATGCACTAATATAAGTTACTCCATAACAGCGGGATGGTGAGATAAAAATGAAAGCAAAGGACTCTTCGTCCCTACAGGGAATCTTTCCAGCAACCTCACTGCAACTACTGTTGTTTCCAGTTCAGAGAGGTTGAGTTCCTTGCCCAAGGTCACACAGCCCCAGGCAGTAGAGGTCAAAGGCTGAGCCTGTCTGATCCTCTGGCCCTCCAACAGCAGCGCCTGCCAGAGCTCACACGGCACGGGGCAAGGACCCGAGGAAGGGAATAGTTGTGAGGAGGGAGTGTGCGCTGTTGCCAACAGACCTTGGCAATAAAGACCATCTGATTGGACAACTGCCATGGACACGGTGGGAGAGGGCCAGAGAATCTGCTGTACCTGGCACCCTCCTTCACTGTGGAGAACGCCATCTCCAGGGACTTCTGTAGCAGTCCAGTAATTACGATTCTCCACTTTCAATACAGGGGGAGTGGGTTCGATCCCTGGCTGGGGAACTAAGATCCCATGTGCTGTGCCAAACAAACAAACAAAAAAAACCCTGCCATCTCCAAATCAGGGCAGTGGATCAGATAACAGACTCGTGGCCACCCCTGTAGAAGCCTCCTTTAGCTCGAGCCAGGAAATACTGAACTTCTTTGCACTGAAGTCAGTAATAATCAATCAAGAAAAAGTGTCAGTCACTCACTCAGTCATGTCCGACTCTTCAAGACCCCACGGATGGTAGCCCGCCAGGCTCCTCTGTCCATGGGATTCTCCAGGCAAGAATACTGGAGTGGGTTGTGATTCCCTTCTCCAGGGGAATCTTCCCAAACCAGGGACCAACCAAGAGGAGAAATCATACGGCCGGAAACAGGGCACCCTGACGCTGGACACTAGAGTTGAGCAACTTTCTAAGAGAAGTCAAATTTCCCTTTCTAAGACAAGGCACTGGACGCGGGAGACATCCTCGTTGTGAGGCTGGCCTGTGCGCTGTGGGATGTGGAACGCCTCCATGGCTGGTACCCACACCAGAGCCCCGCAGGACCACGCCCAGCCCCACCCCCCAGCTGAGGCAACGCAGACCTTCTCCAGAAGCTGCCGAATTTCTGGCAGAGTAAAAGCACCTGGATGAGAACCCCTGGTTTGAAAGCCTGTACTTATAATGCACAGGCCCAGTCCTAGGACGGAAAGTGTTCTCGAGCCAAATGACTCCAGCCACATGGCAGTAGCTCTGCCTGGGGTGCTGTGTCTGGAGTTCTGGGCTCAACTGCAAAACCTTCTCCACCACTGATTGGCAAAGTCTGCTGCGTGCAAGGGAAAGGACAGGGTGGCCGCGCTTTCGTGTCCTCTTGTTGTTAAGGGGACATCCCGACTGCTCAGGGAGCTTTTAAAAAACTACACACGCCTGGGTCCCCTGCACAGATTCTGAGCTCATAAACCTGAGCCCCGAGAGCTGATGTACACCAGCGCTCTGCAAACGGTTCTGAAGAAAAGTCCAAGTGGACAGGCTCATGTCTGTGAGCTTCTACAGACTCCGAGGAAGTCCTCAGCACTCCAGCCTAAGGAGCAGGGCGTTTGTCTATCTATAGGGTTTACACATCTCATCTCGAAGGTTGGATGCGCACGTGTGGGCAGAGTCTGTCACCTGCATGTATCTAACAGGACAAGTCGTTAGCTGGAGACCAAGGGAGTAGCAGGACTAGGAACACCTTTATCCAAACCTCTGGCTCTTCGTTTCTGACCCATCAGGACTCCCTGCAACTGAGCAAGTCCCAGCTTGCTCAGCACCTGCATCTCGGCATCCTGCAACATTCTGAGAGTCCACAGAACTCACTGCCCTTCCTGTTCATTGGGATCGGACACTACACCCGTCCCTGACCACCCGGCGGCCAGAGGACCACTCAGTGACCATCTCGGGACCCACGCTCCGAGCCCCGGGGGACACTCACAGTGAAGAGGTTGGACCGGCGCTTGGACTGCTTGCGGACAGGCGTGGGCGTGTTGGCCGCGGGCGGCACGTCGATGCGGAGCTCCTTCTGGCTGGTGCTCGGCGTGGACGGCACGGAGGAGGAATAGTCGCTCAGGCTCCCGCCCCCGTTACTCGTCTGCAACAGTCAGAGGCCAAGGCTGTGTTAGGGACACGCTCTGGGAGCCTCCCTCACCGCCTGCGTGGGCCGTAACCCACGGGCCGGCAAATCGCACACAGCGGGTGCAGCCGACGGGTGGGCTGGACTCTCCCACTGGCTGGTGGAATCAGCATGAAGGACGCTTGGTTTCCTTCTAGAAGAGAGCGATCTGCTCAGCGTCATTTCAGTTAAGAAAAGGGACTAAAGGCAGGGAAGTCTCTTTCGTTTAATTTTTCCTGAGAGTGAAAATGTAATTATTTTCTATTTCCTCTGAAAGAGGAAGGGACTGGCTGAACTAAGTGGTTTCCGTGGTCCCTTCACTGCGCTAGATTAGAGGCAGAAAGAGCACAATTGTGCCCCAGAGGACCAGAATCCACATTTTGAAAATGACCTCTTAGCGGGATAAATCGGGGGACTGTGATTGACATATACACACCACTACATATAAAAAAGATGACTAATAAGGACCTGCAGAGCACAAGGAATTCTACTCAACGCTCTGTCAGGGCTGATATGGAAAAAGAATCTGAGAGAGAAGGGACATGTGTATTAATACATGTATAAATGACACTCTGCTACACAGCAGAAACTAACGCAACACTGTAAATCAATTATATTCAAAAAGATTAGTTTTAAAAAAAGAAAATGGCCTCTTGGACACGTGGATGCATCTGGAAGACATTTCAAGATTCAGGGAGAGTTACAGATGCCAGTGGTGGGGACGTTAACAGCCTGGACAGTACCTTCATGGTACCTTTGCAGGGCCCCACTGTAAATGCATTTCCCTTCTCCTCAAGCAACCAAACACAGAATGCCTAACCTTCTCACTAAATCTGTCTAAAAAAGTGTCAACATAACACCTGTCTGAGAAATGCCAACCGAAGAGAGGAGAGCAGGCAAAAATAAGCCAACAGTTCCCCTCTGGGATTTTGGTTAGGTTCTTCAAAGTGACTTTTATTATTTGCTTCCAAATAAATAGTAAAATGTTGCAATAGAAAGACACTAGTGGACTTCTCTGGAGGTCCAGAGGTTAAGACTTCACCTTCCAGCACAGGGGTGCAGGTTCGATCCTTCTTCAAGAAGCTAAGTTCCAACATGTCACACACATGGCCAAAAAAACCCCACAAAATGTAAAACAGGGGAAGCACTATTGTAACAGTCAATAAAGACTTTAAAAAAAAGTTACCAGTTTCCACAGGGCATAAGGGAAAAGGGGACTCTAACCCAGAACTGCTACCATATTGAAGCATATTGGGGGATGAGCCAATGAGATTTAACCACAGCTGCTCAGCCTACAAGCAGATGAGAACGAGGACCAACTCGGGGTCATTTAAATCAACAGCAGAGACAGCATGGAGACAGGAGCATTAAAGACTGATTCCCATAAAAACACTGGGCCACAGCAGTTTCCGAAGGAGATGTTACATCAGTTACGGACACGCTGTTATTTGCAAGTTGAAAGAGAAATCCACTTTGGAGCTGGCTGAGCACCCTCTTTGGCAGGCATGTCCTCCTGGGCTTGCGCCTGCCTTGCAGCCCAGCCTCTCGGGGGACCAACATACCTGGCTGATGTGTACGGCGGACACCTGCGCGGAGCAGACGGACGAGTGGCTGGGTGAGTTAGGGAGGGACTTGCAGGGACCTATGGACAGCTGCTGCTTCTTCCTCGTGGCAACAATCTTCTGGGCAACTGCGGGCAAGGAGACAGAGGAGGTCTCTGTGAGGCTGTTCTCCAAACCCAGGGCACGTGGCAGGGGCCCAGGACCATCTCAGTCACCCACCGTCCCCTTGCTCCATGGTAACAGAATTCCTGACTTTCAGTGGGGCACAGGACGACCAGGAGAGAAATGACATTCCCTGGGGCTTCCCCTGGTCCATACCCTGCCCCCCAGCTAAACGTGGCCCCTTGAGCAAGTTCTGGCCAATAGGATGTCAGCAGGAGGGTCATGTGGCAGCATCCCAGAAGCACCCTCAAGAGAGATGCCTTGGCCTATTTCTCCCTCATGGCCTTTTCCTTCTGGCTGCCTAAAAGGCACATATGTTGGCTGTAGCCCTGGCAGTGACCTTGGGGGGTGGAAGCCACACTTGGTGGGACGTGAGCCCCTTCTAGGAACTGAGTCTCTGGTTTGACAACCCTGTGCGGACTGTCTCAGAAGCTTTATAGGTAAACCACAAAAAATACACGTCTATCTTGTTTAAATCATTCTAATGATTTTTTTCCCCCAATTACTTGCAGCAAAAATCATCCTAAATAAGACAAGGGAATTTAAACCAAATCCTTTTGGAAATCAAAAAATCTATTTTATTCATCTATTCTTTTTTCTTTTTTTCACATAGCCTAAAGAATTACTCTCAACTCTATAAGCAACTGCATAGAATTATATTCAAGGACATGTAATTATCTCAAAAGACTTTTTTTAAATTTAAATATACGGCTATACACACTGAGAGTTTATCTTAATCAATACAAATCTAAATTCCACCCGTCATAACTTCTCCTGGCAAATAGGCTGGCTGATAAAGCATACTGGATTTAATTGGAAAGGAAGTCAAGGATTAGAAAACTCTTCCTACACCAATAGGTGTCACTCCAGGAGAATAACCGCAGCTTTTATTTGAATAGATGTGTGTCTTTGGGGACAAGCTGTAATTAAGTTCAATGATATTCAATCCTTGTCTTTGCCCAGGGAGTGGCTATTTTTAAAGACATCCATGCAAAGGAACATACACTGTCCCCAGCAGTGGGTTATGACACAGAAGGAGCACGCACAGTGGCCGCGGATCATTTCTTGTCCAAATGAATACAATGTTAATAAGGAGCTGATCTGTCCACAGCTTATGGCTTTCATGTAAATGAATGATAGTATAAATATGATTAAGTGAAAATGCAATATATAAAAAATGGCTCACAGAGATGAAACAGCAGCCTCATTAGTTACATCCCACCTCCAATAGGCCTCTTATCATCCTGAAAGGATGATATCAATTAATTTATCTTTCCATAGTTTATTGATCATAACCTTCATCAGCTAATCATGTTTAAATTACAGAGGAATATCGCAACACTCTGTCATTTCAAAGCCATTGGCGTATTGATCTGGGGTCTTTGAAGATGCACATTAGAATATTTCAAAAATCATTATGTGAACTCGAAACTAAAACCCAGGAACAGATTCCAACACCTGCAAAACATGTGTTGTATAGGTGAGCTGAAATTCCAAGACCAAAAGTTAAATAACGTACAATCACGATCATCAGGGTGACTGCCAATTTACTTCCATTAAAAAACAAAATTAAAGAACTTTTTTGATGATCAACTCTAATGCATTTTTATTCTCCTCCTGACCTCAGAGCTACTATTCAGATGGATGACCATACAGGATTTCATCTTAAATCTCACAGAAGAAGCATAAACATCAGAATTAAACAGGACAAAACTATTTGGACAACTCTATAGATATTCTTGACTTCCCTGGTGGCTCAGATGGTAAAGCATCTGCCTACGATGCGGCAGACCCGGGTTCGATCCCTGGGTTGGGAAGATCCCCTGGAGAAGGAAATGGCAACCCACTCCAGTATTCTTGCCTGGAAAATCCCATGGACAGAGGAACCTGGTAGGCTACAGTCCATGGGGTGGCAAAGAGTCGGACACAACTGAGCGACTTCACTTTTCTTTTTTTCTATAGACAATCTTGGTAAGTGTTTTATACTCTAAGGGGGAATTGAGAAACTTTCCAAAACAAGTCAAATACATTATTAAAATCCTCATTTTATGACACTCCAAATGGAAAAGAACTTTCTCTCCTCCCCACAGGGAGGCTAGAAAGAGCAAGTCCATGGGCAGAGAGAACCTTTACCCATTAAGACTCCTACAAGGGGACGGAAAGGGCTGTGAAAAGCATCAACCACACATTAAGTACTAAGGTTCTTCTGTCCATGGAATTACTGCTTTGCCACATTTATAACAAAATATGAAGTCACAGCCTCTAATAACTCATAGCATTCTTTTAAGCCTAACTAGAACTTTTAAGCCTATTTGTTTTATTTCACCATTATTTTTATGTCTACCCACAAATGGAAGCGAGGAAATGAGTTCCAAATACTTTGTGCTAAAATACATAGACTGCTTCAGAAATACAGGGTAACCCATAAAAGTAGGGGACTCTTCACAGGGGGACAATGGAAGTATCTGACTCAAGAAGGAAGGGAAGACACAGTGACTGGTTTGTAAGGCTGAGCCACCTTCTTTTCCACAGTGAAAAGCCTCCTGCCCACGGTGGGCACAGAGCTAGGCCGGGCCACACGCGTGGATGAGGCCCCCCCGACCCCAGTGACAGCTCAAGGGAAATGGGGTCCCAGAGCAGGGAGGCTCAGTTCTCCTGCAACGACAGTCATCAGCTGCTCCTGGTATCTGTTCTCCTGTAACTATAGTCTTCAACTGTGCTTGACATCCAGAACATTTAAGGTCAGTCGGCTTAAAACATGAATCTTACTTACCCCCCAGATTACACTGGCTGGGCGATCTTTATGATCAGAGATTTTGTCTTCATTTAATCACTCCACAGGTGAATGTTACACATTTTATACAAATACATGCGATGAATGAATAAAACAGAAACACAACACTCGAGCTCGCTTAAGAGGCTCTGGAGCCTTTATCATCAAGCTGTGATGTCACCCGTTTGGGTGGCACGCGCTTGTATAAAGCGGCCACAGGAGCTCAGCCCAAGTCCGAAATGCTGTCGGGGGCAGACCCGGAAAACGTTTGCTCCTTTCCCAGGTGGTGGTGGTGTTCAGTCGCCGAGTCGTGTCTGACCCTCTGCGACTGCGTGAACGGCAGCACGCCGCCAGACGCTAACCAGTTTCATTAACCTGGTATTTCAATAGTACTTGGTGCTGCCTTAAAAGTCACTTCCTAGGGTCTAAGGTACAACATGAGAAGCATAATTAACACTGCTCCTGTTACAGATGAAAGCTATTAAGAGAGTAAATTCTAGGAGCTCTCATCAAAGGAAGATATGCTTCCTTTCTTTTTTATCTATATGAGATGGTGGATGTTCACCAAACGTACTGTGATATCACTTCATGATGCAAGTTGAATCACTGCACTGTGCATCTTACATGGTGTGTCAGTTTTAGCTCAATAAAATCCAGAGGGAAAAAATATTAAACACGGTCAAATATAAACAAATGAGTGAATAAGCAAGTGTCACTCCCTCCACAGTTTTGAAGTTTTATTTGGGTGATAAACACCCTTTAACTGTATCCATGATCTCACTGTAGAAACCTCAAATATAAGGAAGCAACTTCCAGGGCCGGGAAAAGGCCTGAGTGGCTCCTGGGGGGTGGCAGCAGCCCCTTCTCTACCGGCGTGATGACTTTCAGATCTTCATTTTTCAGCTGTGCCCTTGAGGATACTTTCATAAATATATTTCCCTTCTTCAATTAAAAAGAAGTTGATTCAAGAACTGAAGCAACCAGAAAACGCGAGTTATACATTTACCTTCTCCACAGATTTTGAATTTTCTATTGGAGAGATGATAAATGACACCCTTTAATTAGTGTGTAAAAATAAGACTCTCAGATAGCTCCCAAATAAGACCTCATTAAAACCTGGCCTAATGCCCAATTTCTGTTTCTCCTGGTTCTCAAATCATTCGCACTGAAGGAGGAGCAGAAAGAATGAGTCTGGTCCCCTCAAGGGAGTCAGGTCCACCTCTCACCAGGATCTGGGGGGCATCCTCCTCCCCTCCCCCTCTCCTCCCCCCACCACCTTTGACCCTTACATCTGAACAATGGGCCAGCAGGTTGAGCATCCTGTCTGCTGCTGTTTAGTCCCTAAGTCATCTCTGACTCTGTGCAGCTCCGTGGACTGTGGCCCGCCAGGCCCCTCTGTCCCTGGGATTCTCCAGGCAAGAATACTGCAGTGGGTTGCCATTTCCTTTCTCCAGGGGATCCTCCTGACCCAAGGATCGAACCCGGGTCTCCTGCATTGACAGGAGGACTCTTTACCTTCAGCGGTAAAGAGCATCCTGTCTACTAACCCGCTTAATCCTCACAGTCCCATTTTGCAGATGAGGAAAACGAGGCAAGCGGAGCCATCGGCACAGCAGGGGTTCAGATGCAGTCCGTCTGCCTCCAGGAGTGCTCACAACTCCGCCCCGCCAGACCCCGGCGCGCCCAGGACGGGCCTGTGCACCCTTCCGCCCCGTGCGCGCAGAGACTCTCTCTGACGACCCTCCCTGGTCGTGCTGACCGCCGCAACCCGGCTTCCGCCCCGTGTGCGCAGAGGCTCTCTCTGACGACCCTCCCTGGTCGTGCTGACCGCCGCAACCTGGCTTCTGCCCCGTGCCCGCAGAGGCTCTCTCTGACGACCCTCCCCGGTCGTGCTGACCGCCGCACCCGGCTTCTGCCTCTGTGCCCTCGGTTGAGACCTGCCATTTCTAAGGCTGCTGGTGACCAGCTGGAGGCCCAGTCACCTCCTGCTCGACGTCTGGGCAGCCCTGGGCACCACTGATGGTTCCTCCTCCCCTGACACCAACTCTCCAGGGCTCCTCTCTGGCAGAACCTCTTTCTCGGCCTCCTTCGACGGACATTGGGTGCTGAGGCTTCCTGCTTCAGCCATTTCCTCTTCCAGCCAGGGGCTCCCAAATCCACGCAGCCTTGCTCCGCGTCCTTCCCACTTCTGGG